CCATCCATCCATCCATCATCCATCCAACCATCAATCCATCCATCCATCCATCCATCCATCCATCCATCCATCCATCCATCCATATTTCTCCATATAGGCTAATTATCGTTCAAGCTCTCCGTAGTTCCCCTGTGGCGTGAGCACAGGGCGACTGTTATGCACCTTTAGCGAGCATCCACGTTTCCTGTCGCTTGCGCGGTGAATCGTGCTGCCGCGCTGTGTGGAAATGCAGGGGAAACCGTATCTGATGGGGAAACGCAGCTCGACGTAACACCAGAATTTCCATCTGGAAAGCGCTGTTTTGCCGCTGGAGTCCTCCTCACTCTCCATCTCTCTGTGTGTGCTGTACGTTAACACCCACCAGCAGAAACACCCACCTACCCAACTGACAGACGCAATCTCACTATACATCAGCCAATCTCATCCTCCCCTCTCTCATGACGCGCGCACGAGTCCTATCATGAAAAAAGGTTAATTGTGCGACCTGAGTAACACACAGTAACGGGATGTCGGCAATTGTAACTGCGTTATAGTTACAGTAAGAGTAATCATTTTGATTTCTCGTTACTAAAAAAAGGTAGCGGCGTTAGTAACGCCATTACTTTCAACACCGTTATGCCCATCACTGATTAAAAGTACCACTGTCTGCTTTGCGATTGGTGTAAATGGCTCACCATCATGTTGAAATCTGGCATGTCGTGGGGTATAAATAAGGACCGGTCAGTAATCTTAAAATCTGGTGGTTTTAAGAGGAATTTTTCACACTATTACGTCTGCAATACGATGTGCTTAGGGCCCCTAAGCATCTGTAGTCTCTATTACCGATATTTACGCCATTGAGTTTTAGAAAGAGCTGCAAGTCTTGAGACAGTTTCAGTAAAGAATCCAACACGTTACAATAAATTGCTGAGAAGTAAATGCAAGTTCCTGAAATAAAAAATAAAGCAAGGAATTTTCCAGTTCTTAGGAATTACAGGCCGTATTATTCAGTTCCAACAAAAAAATCTAATCGCTTTTTCTTCTTAGTACAACAAAACATACGATGGCTACTACAATGTCTTTACTGGCAAAGATGACATCACTAAGGTCGGTCAGATCGACATGTGGAGACAAAGCAGGTCAGTCTATTCCTGTAACTTATATATAAAAATATACAATCTCATCATTTAAACAATCATGATCTGATAACCTGTTTGATCCTTTATGTGTCACATCTATTCAGTGTTGGTTATTTTGCATGCAGAATTTAAGAAACGCGTGAAGTAAAAACTATAAAACAAACACACTTTGCATAAATTCTAATGTGATACCATCAACAGATGCCTAATATACACACAAAACCTCATAGAAATTTCCAGTGCTTATACTACACCCACTTTATGTCACACATATGTTTCAGCAGACATTGTCCACTTTTTCCCAAAAATAAGATGAAAATATATATAAAGATAAAATATTGAAAATTCAAATGTATGCTTCATATATTTGCTTTGTGCCATAGGAGCTTGGGTTTTTGGAATGACACATATTGTGACATGATTAATGGGACAGGTATGGTACCCAAGTCTTATGTTAAAAAAGAAAAAGAACAACTACATACTCTCTTGAATCTGTAAGCCAAATTTTCTTCTGTTATTCTTTAGATGCTTCTTCCTTCGCTCCCTTTGTGGACAAAGAGGAGCCCCTCTTTTTCTTCTCATCAGACATCTGCAGGTGATGAAAATTTTCCTGGAAATTAACATTCAGGCTAAACCTTGGACCTTTTTCTCTCACACTAATCTAATGGCCAGACCTTCTTTAAAAGGAAACTGTAACTGTCCCTGTGTTTTTCCTGATTCCAGATCTGTGTCGGCCAGCTATGAGCAGACTGTAAATCTGAAAGGAATCGATGTGTACAGATACTCTCTTCTCCCATCTACTTTGGCCTCCCCCGTGGATAATCCAGACAACAAATGTTTCTGCTCAAACATGAAGGTCACCAAAAACTGCACCCTTGCCGGTGTGCTAGACGTCAGCACCTGTCAACAAGGTTATTTACATTAAAAAATGCTAAAAAAGGTAGGCCATCTCATTTCGTTTCATTCTTCCATTTATGACTTAACTTTATATTTCTGAACAGGGCAACCTATTTATATCTCTCTGCCCCACTTCCTGCATGGCAGTGAATCACTAGTGAAGGATGTGTTGGGCTTGAACCCCAATGAAGAGCACCATAAAACCTTCTTGGATGTTGAACCTGTAAGTTAATGTCACTGATTGAATTTATTGATCTTGCATTTGAATTTCAGTGGTTGCATTTAAGACTGATTTGTACATTTTTTTTTTCTTTTTTCCAACTAGACCACTGGGTTTACTCTAAATTTTGCCAAGAGAATTCAAGTGAACATGATGTACGGACCATCAGACGTCATTACGTGAGTTGTGCTATCATTTTTCTTTTTTAGTTTAGTCGTGTAAGGGAAGTGTAATCCCTAAATTTGTTGCGAAGCTGCAAAGTCCAAATAAAGATATCAAATAAGTTTGTGTGCCAACCTTATCAGCTTTCACGCAAGGTCATCACCATAAAAAAGAATGTTGTGTGATGCCGTATTTGCATCAAAAGTATCTTACTGCAGGTATCATTTCAGGTCCCACCATTCCAATAGTTTCACCATTTCCAGTCATTTTCTTTGGATTTTGCTGAACATAAATGTAATGTTACCCCCTCCCCCCATCTCTTACGTAACATGAATAAGTCATTAAATTTATAATGTTTATTATCGTTCAGAGAGTGACGAACTGGAAAAAGCTTTTATACACTACTCTAAAAAACAAAGGGAACATGTAAACAACACACAATATAACTTCAATTTACATCAAACCTTTTTGAAATCAAACTGTCCACCCAGTGAGCAAGAAAGATTGGCAATCAATTTCACATGCTGCTGTGTAAATGGAATAGACAAGGCCGTAGCAGGGCAACAGCCCAGCAGCAAGACCGCTACCTCCATGTTTGTGCAAGGAGGAAGAGGAGGAGCACTGCCACAGCCCTGCAAAAATACTTATAGAAGGCAAAAAATGTGCATGTGTCTGCTTAAAGGGAATAAACTGACTCCATGAGGATGGTATGAGGGCCCGATTTCTCAATCCATCCACCAATGTCAGGCTGCATAAGACTGTCTAAAAGTTGCCAAATGCTTTAGTTCAGGTGTTTTAGGGAGGTCAAGCAGGCACAATTTGACCCATTACAGGACATTACATCGAGGTTGGATCAGCCTGTAGTGTTTTCCACTTCGATTTCACATGTGGCTCCAAATCCAGGCCTCCATTGGTCAATAAATATGATTTCCATTGATGATTTTTGATTTTGTTCTCACTAAAGTCAATGTTGTTCAGAAAGAATTGTTTAATGAGAATATTTAAATCATTCAGATCCAATTATTTGAGTGATCCCTTTTTTTAACAGTGTATATACAATACAAATAAATAATGTCCAAAAATTTTAAATGGCTGTGAAATGTGAGACTTAGAGTCTTTAGCTATGAAGTATTGCTTTATAATCAATCTATCCTTCTTTTAGTCGTCTTCCACTTATGTAGAACCCAGACAACACTCTCTTAAAGAACACTCATTAAATATTTCAGGGACATCCCAAAGTTCTTCATGGCATAGATGGAATATTTTTCATTTTCATTAAACATTTCTTCTTCTTAAAAACTCCAAACAGGGGCTCTAAGGTAAAGAGCTGTTCTTAGCAGAAGTCTCCATGAGCACAGCTCATTTTATACCGGCTCCTCTATTCCTCTCCTTATCTCTAAAGGTATTACTTGGCGTTCAAGAGAGGAAGCTCATTTCAGATACCATATCACTGTAAAGGAAAATGTTAGCAATTTGGGTTGCCAAATTGGACCTTAGCAATGCCAGTATATTGGCTAATCATCCGATGATCACTTGTGTAAAACATAGTAAATGAAAATCTAACCTTGATACAAAGACTGGGCTTAGACCTAGGGGGAATCAGTATGATCTTTTTCTGGTTTAAAACCATGCATCAGACTTGAAAGGACTAACTTGTCAACAGCAGAGTGGCACAACAAGACAATTTTCATAGAGGTGGTCAAGCAGGGACCAATGTTCCCGTTACACACCGTTGCTTTAAGCAGGCTCAGAGGTCTTACACTTTAGAATATAAGAGTAACTGCAGCAGGTTTCAGTCTAATAAAGACCTGAATTAAGAATTCATACCTTAATCAATACCCATGCACTTAAAAATGTAGATTTTTTACACAATATTTTACACAGGATATGAACTGATGAACTTTTTCCTTGCAGGGTACTCAAGAACGTAAAGGACTTTACCATATTGCCTCTGGTTTGGCTGAATGAGGTAAGAGAAAAAAGGAAACATATATGCATGGCATAAATCTCAAACTCTTCAACTTTTTCATATTTTCTCAAAATACAACCTAAAAACGTCAAAAGATTTTGATAGGATAGTACGCTACTGTTCAAAAGTTTGGGGTCACATTGAAATGTCCTTATTGTTGAAGAAAAAGCGCTGTACTTTTCAATGAAGATAACTTTAAACTAGTCTGAACTTTAAAGGAATTCACTCCATTCATTGCTAATGTGGTAAATGACTATTCTAGCTGCAAATGTCTGGTTT